ATATCCCAACGCACCTTTCAACATCAGAGCTGCTTCAAAAGACACCAGTCTACCACGTGGAGGTGGACTAGACGGGAATGACCCCGTAGGAGTTCCATCGGGTACCCAGATCATCTATTCCACGCATATCCTTCAATTGCGAGATGATCTCAATTCATACAAGTATCCACTCCAAGACTTCTATCCCCGTCGATGGGAAACTTGGACACCTCGTCCATGGACGTATATTCCGTTCAATGGTGGGCCGAGGATATGCATCGGGCAGCAGCTGGCTCTGACTGAGATGGCGTACGTCTTGGTTCGTGTGTTTCAACAATACAGAAGTGTTGAAGTGAGACAAGAACCAATGTCTAAAGATTCGGAGTCCATGGCAATTGGCTGGGAGAAGAGAGGCACGGGGCCCGACTCGGTAGAGAAATTTGTGAGGTCGAGGCCATGCATGGCAAGTGAGATCACACTTGCGCCTCGAGGTAGTGTAGACCTAGTTTTCCGTGAGTAATGAATTGACGATGGCATTCACAATCATGTTCATCGAGATATTAATGCTCATTCTCCTCTTGGCCGCTTGTTGAACTGGCCAAGCAAGTCGTGAGATAGCGTAGTGTTGTTCATGGCATTCAGAGTTCTTTCCCTTAACTCAATGCCAGGGCGTGTTTATCCTAGGTAGGTACTTTGGATGAGGTGGTTAGGTATAGAAGGCACTTGAGATGCTGGCACCTGCCATTGTCGGTTGCAAAGAACAGTACGTAACTGACGCACTTAAGGTACCTGCCCGCATTTGAAGCACAATGCCCAAGGTGCGTAGCCATGGAAGGTACCTAACGACGTGATGCCTTCCCCTTGCAACAACATGGCGAGTCTGGCAAGACTGAAAGTATTTTCTATGCCTCACCTTCCATGTGAGTAAATGGAAGCCCTCGCTTCCGTCTCATTGTACCAAGGAACCCTAGCAGAGAACGCCCACCAACGTCCGAAATCTTCTGCACCAGCTTCATCACCAACACATCCCACCCGAGATTTTGCATCCCGCCCTGCTGAGCAGAAAGCAGTTACGCTACCTGATTATTCTACATAAAGTTCATTCCTTACAACTACCCGGCATCCACGAGCTCGTTCTTCCAATCCCATCTCCGATCAGAATACCGCCTGCTGATCTGTCCGTTAGACTATTCCAGTCCATCTACGCAGACGCGAAGCGACATCCAGCATGGTATCAACCCGCTACATTGCTGTCTTGGCAGCATTGGCATCCTTCGTAGCAACCTCACCTGCACCAAGCCACCAACAGGGTTCACGATTCTTATTCGCCCATACTGATTCTACCCTTCGGCTTGTCAAAACATCCACAGCTGATCCTGGATCATGGGTCACCGATGCGGACAAAGATGTGTTGATCGAGAGCGGTGTCCGTTTCATCGACATCACTGACATCAAGGTAAGCTTTCTTGAACCCGGCTCGGTTCTATTCATTCAAAAAGTTGCTTTGACTGACATCTCCTCAGGACGAAGAAGTTCTCGAAATGATATCCACTCCTGATCATGACTTCAGTCAATACCTCAACACACTCGACCTGAATGCTGACTTGGCTCAGCGAGGGTCAGATTGGATGCAGGGCGAACTTGATGGTCGATCTATGGCCTCTGCTGAGCAACCGACACCGTTCAATACTGAACGTGCAATGCGTCACCTCAAGACAATGACCGAGTAAAGAAGACTGACTCCAATCTTGCTTCATGTCCTGACTAGAATCGCAGGTTTTGGAGCAGAGATCATCGGGTGGAAAACGGCACGAAAGCTGCCGAATGGATCCTCGAAAGTATTGAGAGAATCGTTGCCTTGGTCAACCCGCATATCGAATCCGCCGCGTTCGCGCATAACGCCACCAAGCAGCCCTCCGTTATTGCCAAGCTACCCGGAGCTACCTCGGACATCGGTGAGCCTGTCTTTGACCTTCTAGATGGCTCTGCTGACCCCCTGAACAGTTGTCTTCGGCGCCCACTTCGACTCCATTTCAAGAAAGCCTGGTGGCTATGCTCCGGGAGCCGACGATAATGCTTCTGGAACGGTCGTGCTACTTGAACTTCTCCGGACACTAGCAGAAAAGACGAGTCACAAGGAAACCGAGCCTTGGAAGCCTCTTCGCAACACGATTGAGTTCCACTTCTATGCCGCAGAAGAGGTCGGTTTGCTTGGCTCTTCAGAGATCTTCTACGATTACAAGGTCAAAAACAAGACGGTGGTTGCCATGCTGAACCACGATATGCTGGGATTCTCTTCCACTGACAAAGTATCTCTTGGTGGCGACAAAATTGACCCGCGCCTCACACATGTCCTCCGCACCATTGCGAAGCAGCGCGGCATCGCAACACTGAGCTTTTCTTGCGGTTACGCCTGTTCCGATCATGCAAGCGCTCACAATAACAAGTACCGTAAGCGCGACGTTTCCTTCTTGCTTGATTTTAGTTGACGATGGTATCATAGCTGCGGCCTTCATTACTGCCGATCGTGACCCAATCGGCAACGACAGAATTCACACTGATAAAGATGTCAGTTCCACCGAAACTTTTTATAGCCACGCCGAAAGTCGGGTACTAATCTTGATTGCAGACATTGGAGACGATCGAGAAAGAAACGCTTGAACGCCATTTCCAATTCAGCCTCGCAGCTCTTGAGGTTCTCTCGAACGCAAACGTAACCAAGTTAGGCAGACCAAGCGACGATCTAATGTAACCATCAGGATCTTGCTACGCTGAGGACGATGCAAAAGGCTTGAATAATGGTTGACAAGCCATGCCCCACACCCATGAATCAATGATAGAATTACAAGCATGTCTCAATGGAACCCATATCTGTCCATGACTTTCCCACGTGCCATGGTCATTGGTGAATCGGCGTACACGGACTCCCACAGACATTTGTTGCAGCTACTGGGGCGCGAGTCGCCTCTTCTTCGATGCTCCGTTCTCCGTTGAATTTGAACAAATACAGGCCACTCTTAAGCTCGCTAAGATTGTTGAAATCTCCCAGATGGCTGACGCAAGGAAAGGCTCCCGGGGGGCGGGAGCGTTGGCTGCTCCGTCACGTCCGGCAATGAGTGTCCGGACGGCTCCACTTTGGCCGGGCGGCGCTGTTAGATAGCTCGGCAGTGACCACAACAAGTGGGCCGATCCAACGCTCAAAGCATGTTACTCAGCGTGCCATGCCCCAAGGCGGAGATGCACAATTATGGATAAGACATCAAAAGCCCGCTGAGGGGTTAACATTCCCTGCCTCATCGACCACAATAGCTAATTGTTTACGGAGGGGAAGACATTTTCATCACGCCAAAGCCTGACACCACAAACATGAGCAACCTCAAGGGCAAAGTCATTGCCATCACGGGCGCAGCATCGGGCATCGGCCTGGCGACAGCGAAGCACCTGGCCAACCTAGGCGCGCGAGTATCGATATCGGACGTCGACGAGCCCCTCCTCGCCACGGCCGCGGCGGATCTCAGCAAGCTCCACGGGGCAGACAACGTCTACTCGCGAGTCGTGGATGTGAGGGACCGCAAAGCCGTGGAGGCGTGGATCGCGGAAACGGTGGAGAAGCTCGGACCGTTGGACGGTGCGGCCAACGTCGCCGGCGTGCTTGGGCGGCAGGGCAACTTGGCGACGGTGACGCAGATTGAGGACGATGAGTGGGACTTCGTGATGGGCGTGAATGCGAGGGGGATATTGAACGCCATGAGGGCCGAGATTCCTGCACTGGCGGAGGAGGGACAGGGAAAGAGTATTGTGAACGTGTCGAGCGTGGCGGGGCACTACGGGTTGGAGTATCATGGGGCGTATACGGCGAGTAAGCATGCTGTTGTTGGTTTGACCAAGAGTGCGGCGAGGGAGTTTGGGAGGAAGGGATTGAGGATCAATGCTATCTGCCCGTAAGTTGCAATTGTCTGCATTAAACCTAGGAAAATTTGTCTGACGAGAAACGCAGCGGCGCAATCGATACGCCTATTCTACGAACGGCGCTGGCGGCCAAGACCACAGAGACCGGGGCAGACGTGTTTGAGCCGCTTTTGGGGAGAGTCGGGCAGCCTGAGGAGGTGGCGACGACCATTGCCTTTTTGCTAGGAGATGAGTCTTCGTATGTCACCGGGCAGGCTTGGTTAGTCGATGGTGGTTCAATTCCTTGATGGAGTATGTACGAATGTGTGACTAGACTCGAGGGAGAGGTTGTCGAATGTGTGAGGTCAGAGGGTGAGGAATAGAATACAGGGCGTAAGATGAGATCGGACGAATCGTAGTCAGGGTCACTCACTCAGCATTAAGAATCCAATGTCAGGGGGATCGTGAAATACTACTTGCCCATTGCAAAACTATCTTTGGGTGCTGACTGTGCTGCTGTCTCGGAGTATTTGGAATGCTCAACAGCAATTGGTGCGTTGTCGCAGCGAAGGATGCAAAGGATTCAAGCGTTGCTACCTTTCTTTTTCCGAGAGAGACAAGGAGCAGCGGCTGTCCTACCATAGCTTTACCATACCTTAGTTGGTAGGTGGCAGCATGAGTCCTGAGATGCTACGCCGGCAGCTGTGCGCACATGCAGTGAGAATTTTCTGGAACGATGCAACGGGTAGGTGTGATCGTGGGTGAGATTACAGCCAGGCGCCGAGGCAGGCGAGGCAGAATTTTCAGGAAAATGCCACACCATCAGGACCTAGATGCAGGTACTTTGGGTACACAATACACGAACTTGAGTATTTGGAGTAACTGACGTAGAAACACTTCAGGGAGAGGGCGGCTGTTTATGAACGTTATGAGATGATGTCGTGAATTGTTCCACGGAAAGACTAATAGTAAATCTAGCAAGCGAGTGCCAAGTTGGTATCAAAGCAGATATGAACAAGAGTATTATAGACGATAACTGCCTTCCCCTTTTTTCCAGCCGTCGATGTACTTTCCGACGGTCAAGCGAAATCTGTAAGTGATGGATAGTTGCAAAAGTTCTATTGTCCAAAGACTTAGACAGTCTTCTCAGGCAATGAGCTGTGGGCGGAGCTGCCGGGGGCACCGTCATGGCTGCTGCTGGGCGCAATGTCGGAAACATGGCGGGTGACCTCGACGTAGTCGTAGGCAAACTCGCCGAGCTGGCAGTCGTCGAGGCCAAGGTCCTCGTCGTCGACGCTGACACGCAGGCTGAGGCCAGGAACGAGGTTCATGAGGAAGAGGATGAGGCAGGTCAAGGTGAAGGACCAGGCGAAACCGGCGACGGAGCCGGCCAGCTGGTAGCCGAGCTGGACGTAGTGGTGCTCGATCCAACCGCCGGCAATCGCGCTCTCGCCGGTGTAGGCGCCATCGAGGGCGGCGATGTAGGAGCTGGGGCATGTTAGAACAATGTTCTGCGGGTGATTTTCGGAGGAAGGGTAGCAAGACTTACGCAGCGAAGATACCGGTCAGTATGTTACCGCAGATACCACCGATTCCGTGGACGGCGAAGACATCAAGACCGTCGTCAATGCCAAGCACGAACTTGAGCTTAGTGCCAAAATTGCAGGCGATGCCACCGACAATGCCGAAGATGACGGCAGCCCAGGGTGTAACGAAACCAGCACCGGGGGTGATGGCAACCAGGCCGGCGATGGCGCCAGAGCAGAAGGCGATGGTGGACCACTTCTTCTCCAGACGGTAGTCAAGGAGCATCCAGGTGACACCACCGACACCGGCAGCAAGGTTGGTGTTGAAGCAAGCCATAACAGCACGGATGTTGGAGGCGAGAGCGGAACCGCCGTTGAAACCGAACCAACCGACCCAGAGGAAGACGGTTCCGAGAACGACGTGGGTGACGTTGTGAGGGCGGTATGGGAGGCCGTGGACGCTGTTGTAACCGGTGCGCTTGCCCAGCATCAATGAGTAGGCAAGGGCGGCCGCGCCAGAGGAGATGTGAACGGGCGTACCACCAGCAAAGTCGTAGGAGCCGAGGATGAACAGCCAGCCATTGCCGTTCCAGGTCCAGTAGGCGATGGGGTCATAGACAATGGTGGCCCAGATAAAGGCAAAGACCATGGCGGGGAGGATGCGGCCGCGGTCAGCAATAGCGCCGAGAGCGAGGGCGGGACTATGTCGTATGGTCAGATGCCGCCATCGAGGTCACAGACTTCGCGCCAGATTAGAGTAGACTCACGTAATGGCGGCGAACATGCCCTGGTACAGACAAAAGAGAATATCAGGAATCTTGGTGGAGCCGACAGAGGGTTGAGCGACAACCTCCTTGAGACCAAAGTTTGACATGTCGCCGAGGAAGACGGAGCCGGTGTGAGAGAAGGTCAAAGTATAACCCCAGAAGAACCATTGGAATCCTACCACGCCCACGCAGATCATCGAGATCAATATCAAAGACAATGCGGACTTTCGACGGGCAAGACCCGAGTAGAAGAAACCGACACCGGGAATCATGAGCAGCACGAGCGCCGAGCAGACCATGATCCAGGCCAGGTCGCCAGACTATGCAACCATGTTAGACAACAACATGTATGAGGTAGTCGTCGTTGGGCCACGGCGGGTATCACATGAGCTCACCTCATAGAAGACGTTGAGGTCAGCAACACCGGCAGAGTAGCCGGCGTCGGCCTCGCCCTCGGTGCCATTGTAGGGGATGGCGTAGAGACCGGCAGACATGTTGACGGTTGCGCGCCGGCGCGTGAGCGGTCAATGGGTAGTGATTTCGGTGCGCGGTGTCCGGACGCGTCCTCGGGAATCTTCAACGTTTGCCTGCCTCGAGATCGGCGAACAGACGTCGAAGAGAGAGTAGTGAGTGAAGAGAGCTACAGGGAAGGGAGGGAACGAAGGAAGGGGGAAATGGACGCAACGCAGAAGTCTACGCCGGGGATGGACAGGCTAAATAATCCCAAAAGCAACATTGAGAAAAGCAAAACCGGGGCATTGCCTTCGGCCCCTCGTCGTGAGCCGGCCGATATTTGAGCCTACGAGTACTCCGTACAGATGGCCAAGTCCACTACGGAGCACAGTTGCTGCTGCAGTATCTTTGGATGGATCCGAAGGCGGCAGGGATGAGCAGCCCAGACCGATGGCGCGGGTAAGATGAAGGATGGGATGTCAGTACGTTGGGACGGGGAGGTCGCTCATTGACCAGTCTTCTATGCCGGGCAACACCAAAAGTGCAGGGCCAAGGGGTGGGAGGAAAGCATAAAAAAGGGCATGAGAGGGTGTCTAGTGGCAGAAATCGAGGGTTGTATCTTGGAGCGACTTCCAAATCCTCGTCTGTCTCCGGCAAGACAAGTTGGGCATGTCCCTCTACTGGCATAGCTGCATGGTGGTGGTACGAGAACGCCCTCATCGCGAGAGCTTCATACAAACACGGTCGGTGGAATTCGTACATGTACTTGAACCACATGCTCCGAGGACCCTGGTTGGGCTTTCCCCCCCATCCCATGTCGTCTAGCATCGAGTGGGCCGTCGGAACCTGTGGGTACTGATAAGGAATTGGAGACTGGCCGGGGTTTGTCGAAGGAGATTGACAAGGATGTCTAGGGTCGGGGGCTTCGGCTCAAGGCGAATTGAAGCCATTTCAGGGAGCCATGTCTCTTGGCAGAACCTGGCCGCTAGCGTACCGTAGACGTTTCTTCGTCCGTTGGACTACCTACCTACCTAGCCTACGGACGCTAAGTAAGGTAGGTAGGTATTCGTACTCTCTGGAGTCTGCCACGGCCCACGGTGTGTATCTGGCCTGAAGCTTTGGGACTCGGAATTCTGGACGCTGGACGCTGGACGTGGAGAATGTCAAGAATCGAGCAGATGAAATAGAGTGTCATGCCAAGAGATGGCTTGAGCTTTGCTGATCCCGCCCACTGAGTGCCCACGTCCGGAGACCATCAACTCTTAGCCATGCTGTGTTCGCCAGCGACAAACACATTGTGCCCATTGCCCGATTCCCAATGTTGTTGGTTCATTGTCGCACGGGGCAAATGAGAGGGATCTTTTTCGGCCGGTTGAGCCGCAGGGCAATCCCTCCGCTTGCTGCTCTTGCTAACATTGGATGCAACATTTCAGACCAGGACAAAGTTTTTCCAATTTTTCTTGCAGGCCGCAGTGCAGCATCAATGGTGGTCTGGCATGCAACCAGGTCCATACACGCCGGCACAGACGTGACGTCTCTGGACCCGAGACGAGCCAAGACTGCAAGAAACAGGCGATCAAGGGAATTCGAGATGAGGATCAAAAGGAAAGACGCATGCTGTGCCTCAGCAACGCAACGGCAGAAACGCATCGCATCAGCGAGGCGCAACAGTCGAGCAAACGCATTCGTACTCGGTAGGTAAGCTGTATTATCTGACAATCTGTAGCCACTTCATTTCCCGCGTCGTGTTCAGCCCGTAGTTTCCGACCTTCCCTGGCCGCTGCCGTGTGGGGGCGATTTGGTCCATGGCTGCGAAACGGGATAGATGCACCGTTCTTAAAGACCTTTGGCAATCAAGCCGGCGGTATCCGTATCCGTACAGATACGCTGCATAGCGCTTCTGTTTAATCAATATTGCCCTCTAAGTACCTTATTATTAAAGAAAGTTAATTCTTTTTAGGTTATAAATATAAGAATATAGTTTTAATAAAATAATATAATACCTACTTAGTACTTAAATTAAAATACTTTTTTAAGCTCGCTATAAAAAATAATAATTATATTATTAACTATTTATTATTAAAGCTTATAATATTATAGCTTTAATTATAATAATTTTATTTATAATAAATAAAAAGTCTAATTATAAGTCCTTTAAAAGCCTCTTTTTAAGGGCTATAAAAGCTTTTAAATTAAATTAAAATACTTATTAAAATATTAATAACTAAACTAACTTTATAATAATAGTTTTAGTAAAAAAACTAAAAAATAAATTAAAAAATAATATTAAAATTCTTATTAATATTAAATATAATTTAAAAAGTATAATAACGTAGTTATAGAATATTATTAATATATTTTATGTTAAAAAAGGTATTATTAATATTAATAAAACGGATAGGGCTATATTAGTATAATACCTTAGTTTTTTTTTATAGCTTAAGGATTATTATTTTAAATAGTATTAAAAATTTATTAAAAAGCTTTTTTAAGTATTTTAATATATTTATTATTATTTTTATAATAATAAAACTCTTAGTACTTATATATAAGTATAAGTTATTTATTTTTAAATAATAATATTAATTTATTAATAAGTTATTAAAATTACGATTTTAATAATTTTTTAATAAAGGAGAGGGTAAAATAGAGAAAAGAATAAGTAATTTATAAAAAGGGTTAAGGTTAAATAGTACGGAATTCGAGGGTAGGGTAGCGTCTATATGTACTATAGCAATCCTCTAGTAATGCAAAACGATAGAGTTAAACAGTGCAATATTGCCCTCTAGTTAGAGAAATTGAGCAGAAGCTCAGGGCGTATTGAGGGGCTCCCTCAGGCGACCAAGGGAGATTTTGGTGGTTGATGGGAGCTGAGACCCAGTTACACACGACTTCTGTGAGTGTGACCCCCCATGGACGGATGGATGGATGGGTCATGGGTGCTTTGCGCAACAGGCAGCACCAGCCACATGTCTTGTCCCTAGAGAATGGGGCATGGTGGCTCAGACATCGATGCCATTGTAAGTCGTTTTAACTCGTCGCAACCATACGTTGTGAAAGTTGCTGCAGCATGCCGATCGACAGAAATTAAGGTGTTCCGCCGTTGGATTTTGACAGGACTAGCTCGACGCCATCTTCATAGCTGCTATCACGGATACGATACGACATGGGAGTCAAATAAGAAACGGCCACGGATGATTGGCGGGCGGTATCGCTTTCCCGCGGTGAACGTTGTTTGTCCCGATTGCATGGTGTCGGAGAAGAAGAAAGGTGTAGAAGGAGGCGTCCTTCAAAAATGCTCAGACTCCGATGTCAAAGCGACACGGTGACAAGACAACCTAGAGGCTAGAGGGGTCTCCATGGTTGAGAAAGCCCGATATCGCACGCGGGGGGCCGGCATCGTCAGCTGCGTCTCAGAAGTCAAACTTGGTTCGTTTGTGTATCCGCACGAAGTATATTAACGGATGGATAGTCTTCGAGCTGAAGAACGTGTCGGTGACGCTAGCGAAAGGTGAATCACCCACATGGCGAGCGATGACTCGGGTGGTGGTGCTAGTCCGGTGGTCTGGCACATTATCAGAGAATCTGCAGGCCATCAACAGTATGTAGTCCGAGTCGCTAATCTCAAGCCTGATCGAAGCGTTCTCGCAAGATGAGTAGTTGCGGTGCGGGGCTTCGAACAAGCCCAGATTGGTTTGATTGCACCGCTTCCAGTCCGCCAGAATGTGCGAGACCGCGCGAAGCCAAAACGACACATGCAATCGGATGCAATCGGGAAAGGCTCACAGGCTGTCCTTGATCCTTCACCTTGCTGTTCCGTGAATATGCTGCGCCGCTGGGGAAAGGTCGGAAATCCTTCAGGTCCACCAAGAGATAAGACGGCACCGAAACCGGGCTACCTTGGTTGATAAGTTGATAGAAGAAAAGGCCATGACGGAAATGCGCCGTGGGTAATTGCAACACCTAAAAGCCGAGGGTTAAACGCCTGATAGAGGTAGCGCGTCTGACAAGCGTTGATGAAAGCAAAGCTGCGCGAATGAAGACGTTGAATCAGGTGTTGCATGAATCGCTGTTGGTGCGCAAGTTCAGTTGACGGTGAGGTGGGGATTCGAGATTGCTGGCTTGCCGATGGCTGCTTGCTATGGCGGAGACTGCTGTTACTCAGACAGAAGAAAATTCAAGTAGATGACGGATATCTCTTATCGTGGAGTCAGAGCCAGTAATTAGCTCTTTACCGTGGCGTTTTTAATCGTGGGCGGGAGAGGGTGAGAAGTGCAAGGCGGTCGTAGCATGATGGTGGGATTCGATGATCCCTCACATTGACGAGCCAACGAGCCATATGCCCCAGATTCTCTTGGGATGGGCGATATGTCGTCATTATCACCCCGATGGAGCAGAGAATCATCGAGCCAAGACATTGATGGAGCGTCCCATTCGCACGAGCATTGAGAGGGTGCCTTGGTTGCGTCTAGGTTTTGCCCATGTGGTTGTGGCAGCATTCGTCTGATGCGCAGGAGAGTTGAGCCTGAACTTCTGGTCTGAAGTGGGAGACCCGTGGACAGGAGTGAAGGTGGGCGGTGGGCGGGCTTGGAAAACCCGGTGCTGACTAAGGTTCTTTCCTTCACCTTACCTACCTTACCTTAGGTAGGTAGCATCCTTTCGGAGTCTGTCCCCAGTACCTCAGTGAATACGTACCTCGAGGGGTACCTGTACCTAGGTACCTTAGGCTGTCGCAATTGCACACTTCCGGAACACTTTGGGCGGGAACGAAATGAGCATGAAATGGACACCAATAACCAAAGGAAAGGAACGCTAGAAGGAGCATGCGTTGCTGCTCCGTTTGCTCTTGCCTTGTGGGAACGAACTTTGCATCCATGGAAAGAACCAAAATCTATCCGCACCTTACTGGCCAGTGGCCACGCAGACGAAGCCATTTGGAGAAGCTGCAAGCCAGGTTGGTTCTTCCTGTGTTTGAATGGCCGCACTTCTGATTGGCTTTCTCCTCTTATCTTTCGGCACAGTGGGGCTGAGGATGCTAGCG